TATTTTTCTCATCAGAATCCCCCTCAATTTATAGAGGGGGAGATGTACCATATTTTGAACAAACGTGAGCTGATGGTGCTGCAAGGTTGCTTCCACTTTTTTTCTTCCTTGGCTGCTTCAAAGAAAGGCTGCTGCCTTTATTTAATTGACTCAACAACATCTTGCATCACCGCCAAACCAATGCTCGTGTGTAAACTGTGGACCCGCTAATTGTAACACGTCCTCTTTCATGACACTTAGCGACATGCCATAAGGACTCCCCTTTCTCTCTTAGCAAAACTCATCCATGGAGAGAGAGACAAAATTAGCTTCTTCGGTATCTCCACTTACCGACTTCGAGCTTTTTGCCGAACCTGCTCCTCCTTTCGGACAATTTCTTTTCACGTGCCCAGACTGTCCACACGTCTAGCAAATCACAAATTGCTTCTTCCTGGAGTTCCTCTTCTTTCCGTCACCGACGAGCATGACTTGACCTTCCGGTGAATTGTTTCGTCCACCATCTAGCCTTCTCTCTTCCGCAAGAAGTTTACCAGTGACTTCAGAAAATACAATTTTCTCCTTCCCATGAATCAAGATCGGCTTCATGTGTTCATAACAAGTTGGAAGAGACCAGATGAGTCTCAACGCCTGATCCTCATCATCAATCTTCACTCCAATGGATTCCAGCTCCGAGACGATCCCATTGAGAACGCTTAAGTGGTCTGAGATGCTTTGACCTTCAGTCATTCGCAGTGTGTGAAACTGCTCCTTCAGATACACCCGATTTGAGACGCCTTTATCCTGATACAACTCCTCAAGCTTGTCCCATAATGCTTTTGCCGTCGAAATTCCATGCACATTAGCAAGAACATTCTTGGCCAGACACAGTCGTATCGCGCTTGCCGCTCTCAAATCTAGTTCCTCTCAATCTTCATCGCTCATTCCAGATTTGCTCACACCAACTTTTTCTTCAGTGCTGCTGGTAGCACTGCCTTTGGGAATTTCCGAGCCCTTCAAAGCTTTGTGTAACCCCGACTGAATCAGCACGTCCTTCACTTGCACTCGCCACAAGCCAAAGTTGATGTTTCCGTCGAATTTCTCCACATCAAATCTCGCCAGATTCGATATCTTATTTCCAGACATCTTCGTAAATTAGTGAACACTAACTTCGCAGAAAACCGAGCAGCAACCTTGAATAGTACTGATCAGATAAATTCTCAGGGAGGGTAGCGACCTGCCCCCTAAAGAATTATCCTTCTAAGTAAGCTCCCAGGAAAGGCTGGTGGGATCACAACGGTCCCACTTAAAAAAGCACTCTCCTAGACAGAATCTACTTACACAGTAATTATTCCCCACTGCCCAAAAAAACTCCTCTGCACACAAGCTCCACCCGTCACTGGCTCCACCGCACGAACAGACCTCTTTAGTATCTTTTCTGATGTGGAAGATCAGACAAAACTGCAACCACAGAGCATACTCAGAATACCAACTAGGCTAACCTCGCTCTTGATACCACTTGTTGGGATTTTCGACCACACCGAAACTCTGCCCAAGATCTACTGAAAATAATAAAACTGGAGAACACAAAGTTTAACGTGGAAAACCTTATGTTAACAAAGAGGGAAAAACCACCAGGGCAACAAGGCCGTAGAAAAATCCATTATGTAAAAAACAATTACAATCACACAATTTTTCTACACTCACTTATACCCAAATTACTCCATAGAATTTTCTATCCGTTAACTTTAACTCTCACCCTAAGGAATTTTTAATGAGAGATTAATTGTTAACACAATAACTCTGTGGGATGATTTTACATAAGAAGTAGCACCTTCTTATATAGGGGAAACTCCCCTCCTCTCTCATCCCACTTCCGATGTGGGACAAAAGCGCAAAAAACCCAACAACATGATAATCCAATAGTTACAAATCTCGACAGAATTGTTTTGTGACGGAACCGTAGCATCTCCCAAATAAAAAAACAAGTCAATTAATCCAACACAACTTAAATATTTCCAAACTGACGATAAAAAGTCTATTTACGTAATTGCAACATACCACCCAACTTTTGGACCCAAGAAAACAAATTGTACGCCCAGAAAACGACGTCGTAGATGTAACCCCTTTGAAAATGTTCTCATGCACACTATTAATCCCCATGAAGTTAATATAATCACATCAAACATCATATTATATATACACATTATATCAAAATATTACGAACATATATATATATATATATATATATATATTAAACAAACTATAATTTACAGAGATGGGAAATTGTGGGTCTAGCAAATATGTAAACCGGCCGAATTTCACGGCCAAATTGATTCTCCTAAACGGGAAGCTTCTAGAATTCGAGCACCCGATCAAGGCGTCTCTGCTGACGTGGCAGAACCCTAGCTCCTTCATATGCAGCGCTGACGGGATGGAGTTCGACCAGCTGGCGGCTGAGGTTGGCGGTGACGAGGTCCTCCGGCCTGGTGAGGTGTACTTCGAGCTCCCGGTCGAGTGGCGGAGCCACCGGATGCGGGCGGAGGACATTGCAGAGCTAGCGGCAAAGGCCAGCTTGGCGCTTTCGGGTGGCAGGGGGTGTGATGACGATGATATGATTAGGTGCGGTTGTTGTTCGCCGAGAAGTAGAGTCGAGCCGTTGGTGCCGGTTTTTAAAGAAGAGACGGTGCCTCCGCCAGTGCCGCCTGACGGTGGGGGAGGGAAGGGAAGACGCGGCGGGTGCAAGCGGCGGCGAAAGTTTGTGGTGGAATTAAGCTCGATAATCGAGGAGTAAATAAATTTGGGTGAAATCTCTCCTCTCTCTTTATCTCTCTTGTAAAATTCGATCTTACTGATTAGGGCACTGCCTCAACGATTTTTTTTTTTTTTTTAGTTGGAACATATTTATATAATTAGTGTATGTTGATCCAATTGTAAAAAATCTAGTGAACACAATTATATTGAAATATTAATCTTTTTGAGTGTGTTATCATTTTTTTTTTTTTTTTTTTTTTT